ACATGGAATGTTAAGACTGCGTTCATCTCCTCTCTTCCTTTTTCCATTCATCGGTTCTCCCTTCCTTTGCCTTCTCCCCCCACCCAAAATCCTGGGTTAATTCTCCTGCGACTTGACTGGTTATCCCAAGAACAGGTTATAAAATCAGGCCTGTTTTATACGTGCATACTTGCCCTCTGCTTTTTGCTATGAATTCAAACAGCACCAAGACCCTCCCTCTACACACACACACACACACACACCCAAAAAAAAGCTGGGCAGCGGCTGGATTTTCTAGCTTCCAGGACAAAGGACCCAAGTTAACCTTTCCTTCTAAATGTTCCAATCTCTACTCTTTGGTCATAGATACAGAAAATTGACTGAGAAAGACCTCTTGCCCACTTTTTTGTCTTTTCTCTATTCTGCCCCATGCTCACTGCTATCAATATCTTCTACAGATCTTGGCTCTTCCCTCTCCTGCTCAGGAATTCCACATACCTGCCCATTTTCTACCTGACCCTTCATCTTGGGGCCTGTGGAATAACTAGCACGGACCACAGGGGTAAAGCAACTCCTTTGAAGAGTCATGGTTTGTCTTTAAAATATATGCACATTTTTTTCATCCTAATTTATAATTTATACTTCTTGGATTTAATACAAATATAATGGTTGGATTGTTTCCATTTCTAGGAAAATCTGCTGCAGCAAGCTGGTCTGGTGGGTCACACAATTCCTGCTCTATTGCTTCCTCATGCTCTCTTGAAATACCCAGAATAGGGCCCTGGGCAAAAATGTGAATTTGGCAGAGATAGTCAAGACCCCTTACACACTAGCATTCCCTTTCAGAGGAAATTCCTCAGGGGCATTTCTAGAACACAGACTAACAAAAGGTCTGGTAAAACATTCGTGATCAATGTTATATATACCTCTTTTGGCACTTCTCAATAAACATAAACAGTCTTATAGCAAAACCTGCAGCAAACATCCATCAGGACCTGAGTGAACCTTCTCTACAGTATATTTTCATCTTTTTTCCTCTCTCTGTTCTCATTACCTAGAAAGCTGCTTACTGGAAAACTCATACTCACCTACACAAATGTATCCACTCACTTCTTTGATGCCCCTCCAACCAGTGCATTTGAAAATTCCCTCCGCCGATATAGAGCCCTTTGTAAAGATAGTTTTGTTAAATTTTACATGTCACCTTGCACTTACATGCTAGTTTCCATTGCCAGATCATGCGAATTTCCAAAGCAGAAATCATCCCTTAATTAGTCACCTCAAAAGCTAACAAAGTCTAGGAGCCCAACAACTATGTGTAAAATAAACTCAGGAAGTAATAAGTGATCTTTGCTGAAAATAAAACATGTAGCATCATATGCCATCTTCCTTTTACTCTATCCAGGAAATCTCTGCTTATAACGAGGGTAAATGGCTCACACCTGTAATCCTGGCTACTCAGGAGGCTGATCGCTGAGGATCAAAGTTGGAAGCCAGCCCAGGCAGGAAAGTCCATGACTCTTAGATCCAAATTAACTACCAGAAAACTGGAAGTGATGCTTTGGCTTAAGGTGGTAGAACACTAGCCTTGAGTACAAAAGCTCAGGGACAATGTCCAGGCCCTGAGTTCAAGCCCCATTACTGACAAAAGAGGGGGCAGAGGGAGGTTGGATGCCAGTGGCTCATGCCTGTAATCATAGCTGCTCAGGAGGCTGAGATCTCAGTATAATGGCTTGAAGCCAGCCTTAGTAAAAAAATAAAAAATAAAAAAGTCTATGAGACTCTTATCTCCAACAACAACAAAAGAGATCCAGAAGCAAGTGGAGCTGGGCTCTAGTCATAGAGTGCTAGCCTTAAGCACAAAAACTCAGGAACAATACCAGGACCTGCACACACACGCACAAATGTGGGGGGGTGGGAATGAGAATGATAATAAGGTTTCAGGGAGCAATAATAATGGTCTTAAAATAGCCTAATACAAATGGGCAAAAAAAAAAAAAATCCCAGAACTGAATTAGCGCCAGCTGAGATTTTGCCACCTTAAGACTCCCTAAGAGAGCCAGATGTCTCTGTCCAGGGTGCTAAATTTTCAGCTGGAAAGATCTGGTTCTGTTTCCAAGACTGGCAGAAGCAGGCAGACCTGAAATTCAAATGTATGCATTTGTTGTTGTTGTTGTTGTTTTGCCTGATAGAGAGACTTCCTTCTCACCCAGGATCCTAGGACAGTCACATTCAATCTGTTCCAGTTCAGCCAGTTTAAGTAGATTAAGCTGACTCTTCTGCTAGAACTTGCTAGATCTGAAGGAGGCAGCAGAAGCTGAGTGGATAAAAGACCTGGGTGATGCTGATGACTTCTCATCACCACGCTGCACCCCCCCCAGCAAACTGGGGCTCTTGGACCAAACCTTTCTAGGCATAGGCTTCCTGACCCCTGCGTTGAGTAGCTACGTAATTAAGATGGAGCAACCCTTCAGTGAATCATCCGTGTGTGACAAACACTTTCTCTTTTTTAATCCTCTCAGAACCCCATGAAGTGGATATGATTAGTCTCATTTTCCACATGAGGACACAGGGCTTAAAGAGAGGGAAACAAGTATTTTTCTCAAGGCCACTTCACAAACAAGAAGCATTGCTGGACTGGGAAGCTCAATGTGCTTGTTCACAGCTACACTGAGGGCCAAGGTGAGAGCAAGACCCTTCCCCAAAGCTCTCCATGACATCTGGCTGCCCACGGCCATCTTGTTACCTGCCCCTTTAACACTGGAGTGGCAATGCCACTTGGTGGTTAAGATGTGTGTGTGTGTGTGTGTGTGTGTGTGTGTGTGAGAGAGAGAGAGAGAGAGAGAAAGAGAGAGAGAGAGAGAGAGAGTACTGGGGCTTGAACTCAGCACTTAGACATTGTCCCCTAGCTACTTCTGCTCAAGTCTGGCACTCTACCACTTGAGCCACTGCTCCACTTCTGGCTTTTTGGTGATTAATTGGAGATAAATGTCTCATAGACTCTCCTGCCTGACTTAGCTTTGAACCTTGATCCTCAGATCCTCGAGCCTCCTGAGTAACATGAGCTATCAGCATCGGGCTTGTTATATTTTGTAACCTGATATTTTATATTTTACTTTTTCACATCACGAATCCTCACATAGGCTTTAATTTCCCCCTTAAGAGCCATGTTTCGTATTAGTCAAATTCCTTAAGAGTATCTTCAATAGGCAGAGGGACCCAGGGTAAAATGCTACAGCTTCTCTATGAGTGGAGAGTAGTCTCTTCTCCAAAAAGGGTGTGCCATCGCCTTTGGAAGCCCGTTCTACTTACTCAGCTGAATGGCCCCGTGCTGTTATACTCGAGCTAGCCAGAGCAAGGCCAGCCCCCCCCCCCAGAAGCTGTTGTGGATGACATGGCCAGCACTGGCTAAGGCTGACCAGGACAAGTAGGGGCTCATTTTCCAAGTGTGTGAGCCCAGCTGCCTTATTGGTTCCTCCTTAGGTACTTTCATGTGAAAACGAACATCCTCATGAAGTGTATTTTGAGGTATATTGCCAAAGTTGTCTCTACCCTCTTTAACGTATCACAATCGAAACTACACAGTCCATTGTGTTCACAGGGAAGTCAAGCCTCAGGATGCTTAAGCAAACCTGCTTCAGACCAACCTGCTAGGGACCAGCAAAAGCATCCACAAGTTACCAAGACGACAGATAGAAATCTTGCAAGGAAACAGGGGCACTGCTCTATAAAGTCCTCCCCCCACTTCATGCCTGGAACCTGCCTTCCTCCCCACCCCACCCCAACCCCCCAACTCCATTTCCCTCCACTCCATGCCAGCAATTCCTTTTCTGCTATCCTGACTCAAAACCTCCATACTTCCTCCTTTCCTGTAACCTACACTCGCCACGCTCTTCTCCTACATTCACCCTGGTAACTTTTTTTTCCCACATTATCACCTATCATAGTATTGCATCTAATATTTGACTCAGGAAATTGTTCACAAGAATATACATTTGACACTGGTGTAAGAAATAAGCCATCTGTCACCGTGATTGTATTTCTGTAATTGTCATAATACCCAATGTCACCTGTCAACTCAACCTAAAAGCCTTTTGGTGGCTTTTCGCATCCCCTGCTTGGGAGTTGTGACTGTTTTTCATACTTCCTTCCTACCACTTTATTCCCTCCCCATGAGTACCGTCAAAGGGACCCCACCTCACCGCCATCTGGGCTGCTTCAAAAAAGAACTAATGCCTTGTTCAGACCGGCCACTCACATCCACTTAGAATACATTAAACACTTTTGTTAAGCACCGTTGTACAGAAAGATCTACCCGTGACAACTGAACATTCAAAACAGTCTGGAAGAACGAAAGATAGAATGACTGCGTGAATGCACAGCTCAAACGGTGGAAGTTGGCTCTGGGCGATGGCACAAGGGGTCCGGGGTTGGGGTGTCAGCTGCCGGAATAGGACTCATGCTATGCTATGCGTATGTCTCCAGTGAGAAATCTGGGATTCTGAGCAGGACCCCCCCCCCCCCCAGGAAGCTAAACAAACAAACAAAAAATGTCCATCATCCAAAAGTTGCGGGGAGGTGGGTGAGGGGAGAGGGAGAGAAGTCCCAACACCCACTTCTGATTGGACAGACTTCTCAGCCCCCCCCCACCCCGCCCCCTGCCCAAAGAAACGCCAAATGCATCCAGAAGAGTCTAGAAGTAGCCGAACTGCCTGGGAAAAGCCGGAGTACCATCCGTTTCTGGCTACTGATTCCCAGATCCGGATACTTTGCGCCCCGAGTTTTTCCTAAGCGGAGGGACAGACAAGCGGTAGCCAAGTACAGCCACGCACAGGTGGCTGGGTGTGGGTGTGGGGGGTGGGAGGGGGTGATGGAGCCCCGCTTGGTCACCCGCAGGCTGGAGTCACGGGGTGGGGTTGGGGGGGACCAGCTAGAATGCCCCCCGGGGGTCCAGGGGACAACCCACCCTCCCCCCTTGCCACGGGCTCCGGACAGTCCTGCAACCCCGGGTCCGCACTCACCACATCCATGATCTGCAGGAGGCTCATGGAGAAGTAGACGGTGAGCGGCTGCGAGTCGTTGGCCACGGGCCTCTCCAAGGGGTTGTAGTTCTTGACCAGCTCCTTGTACAGCTTCCTCTGGAACTCGCCTTGCAGGGACACTTTAAAAGAAGAAGAGCTGAGCGAGGCGGCACAAAGATCACCCTCTCCACCCGCCACCCCCGACCCCGTCGCCTAGGCAGAGACCCGGGGGGGGGAAGCTGGTGCGGTCCGAGCGCGCGCGCCCACCCACCCGAGACCCGCGCCGCGGAGAAGTGTGCCAAGCAGCGGGCGGAGACGGATTTCCTTACCTGGCAGGAACAAGGACGCGGCGAGCGCCAGCCAGACGCGGCCCCGCCAGCCGCGCATGTTGGGTCGGGATGATCCCTCCCCCGCCCTCCGCCCGGGCGCCCCGCGCCCCGCGCGTCCCGCCGCTCAGCCCCGGCCTGCGCCTCTCCAGCTCCGCTCCCGCGCCTTTAAAGAAGCTGCGCGCGTCCCCGCCAGCCCGGCCCGCCCCCGCGCCTCCCCACGTGACGAGCCCCGCCCCCGCCTCTCCCCCCCTCCCCTCCTCCCTCCTCCCTCCTCCTGCCTCCGCCGCCGCTGCCTCCTCCCCCCTCCCCCCCCAGGAATGGCAGCCCGCGGCTACGTGCGTGCAGCAGACCCCGGGGCGCGCCTGCGTGCGTGCGCGCTGGGGAGGCTCAGCATTCTGGAGTGGTTCTCCCGCCCCCCCCCCCCCCCCGCGCATCTCTCCTGGGGCGGGGCCGGGGAGGTGGGGTCTCTGCCCCCCCCACCCCAGTACATGCTGGGAGCCCCGGTGCCAGGATCCAGAGAGGAAGCGCGCCCTCCAGCCATTCGCTGGGTGTCTGGGCTCCGTTCTGGAAAGGCCTGCGAATGTCAGAGCTTGGAGCCCCGATGGAAGAAGGCCCCTTCTCTTCTTTCCACGGAGACTTCAGACAGTTGGGAAGTTCACTCCGATCTCTAGCTGGGCTGGCTGGACAGCCCAAACTTGGTCTCGGCTAGGCCTTTTGTGTTTGTATCGTGCAGGTACTGGGACTTGAACTCAGGGCCCTGTCCTTTACCACCACCACCACCACCACCACCCTTCCCGCTATATTTACCACCTGAACCACACACCTGAACCACTTCTGGTCTTTTTTGGTAAATCATTGGGGAGATAAGTCTCACAGGCTTTCCTGCCTGGGTTGGTTTTGAACAGATAATCCTCAGATCTCAGCCTCCAGAGTAGCTAGGGCCGAGAAAGGGAAAGAAAGAAAAAGAAGAAAGGAAGAAAGAAAGAAAGAAAGAAAGAGAAAGGAAGAAGAGGGAGAGAGAGGGAGGGAGGGAAGGAAGGAAGAGGAGGGAAAGAAGGAAGGAAGGAAGGAAGGAAGGAAGGAAGGAAGGAAGGAAGGAAGGAAGGAAGGAAGGAAAGAAGAAAGGAAGGAAGGGAGGAGGGAAGGAAGGAAGGAAGGAAGGAAGGAAGGAAGGAAGGAAGGAAGGAAGGAAGGAAGGAAGGAAAGACGGACAAACCTGTCAGGAGTGCAGACTCCCAGAAGCTGAATGCAGAAAGGGAAGTGTGCAGAATTCCCTGAATCCTATAGGGGGCGCTGTCTACCGCTTTCCCAGACCCCAAGCATCTGTGAACCTCTAAGGGCAATGCCCAAGCTCATGAACTAACACAGGCACTCTAATCTGACACTAGGAACCAGTAAAAGGTTCACGTAAAAGTGATGGAGCTCGCAGAGATCCCAGCAGTAGAAATGAGGTACTGAGCCCTAGTTATTTGCTTAAGAACCGCAGTAAATTGTGTTTCCCTTTCCTTCAAGTGCCTTGAAGCAAGTTCCTGTGTGTTCACTGATACATGCACACTCAAACGGTCAGTGTAGGCTTTAATACATGTGCTAAGACGCTGAGTGTCCAGTGACTCATGCTTGTAATCCCAGCTACTCAGGAGGCTGAGATCTGAGAATGGCTGTCTTCAACCAGCCCAAGCAGGAAAGACAATGACTTCAATGAATCACACAGAAGCTACAAAGTAGCTCATGTAATAGAGTGCCAGCCTTGAGCAGAAAAGCCAAGGGAAAGCACACCAGGCTGAATTCAAACCCCAGTGCTGGCACACACACACACACACACACACACACACACACACACACACACACACAATGTATGTAGTAAGAGCCTAAAAGATTGAGATTTTGGAAGAATAGTTCATACAGAATGGAGCAGTTGAGGCCTCAGAAGTGTGTTCTGTCACAGGAAGGGGAGAGCTGGTAAAGTTAGGGACTACAACATGTGAGCTGAGGGCTGGGAAGGTGGCTCAGTGGTAGAGCGCTTGCCTTGCATGCATGAGGCCCTGGGTTCGATTCCTCAGCACCACATAAGCAGAAAAAGCCGAAGTGGTGCTATGGCTCAAGTGGTAGAGCACTTAGCCTTGAGCTAAAGAACTGAGGGTCAGTGCCCAGGCCCAGAGTTCAGGCCCCATGACTGACAAAAAAGAAAAAAGAACAAAAAAGTGAACTGATAGCAAAAAGGAATTTGAGAAATAAAAAAATAAAACCCATGCACAGAATGCAGGGTGCAGACTGGCAGATTCTCCTTAACACACCACTGTGAATGGCAGGGTTCACTCTGCTGTATGCATCCTGCAAACCCCTGAGAGTCTGGCCGTCCATCATGGAGGAACATGAAGTCCGGAGAACTCACTTCTCCAAGGTGGCCATTGGGATCCTGTTTCTGAAACCAGCACTGATTCCTTACCATGCCTATCAGTCAGCTTTCTATTGTGTCACCAAATACCTGAGGTAAACAATATGAATGGAAGGAAGGTTGATTGGTGGGCGCTCGTGGCTCAGGTCTATAATATCAGCTACTCAGGAGGCTGTGATCTAAGGATCCCAGTTCAAAGCTAGCCTGGGCAAGAAAGTCTGTGAGAGTCTTATCTCCAGTTAACCACCAGAAAACCAGAAACAGGGCTGTAAGCTTCGCCTTCTAAACTTTCTTCCATCTCCCGATAGCTGAGTGAGCTATAAATTAATCACAAGAGAATCCACTTATAATTAATTTTACAGAATTCATTTATAGAATTAATCCATTCATGAGGTCTGACCTCGTAGGAGCCCATCTCTTCCGAACAGTAGGGCTTGAGGACCAAGCCTTCATCATGTGAGCTTTGGTGTTACATTTTTTTATTTATTTTTAATAGAAATTGTATGATTATAAAGGTGATATACAGAGAGGTTACTGTTTCATAAGTGAGGTAATGATTACATTTCTTCATGGACAATGTCACTCCTTCCTTCACTTTTCCCTCAGTTTCCCCCTCATTTTCCAGTGTCTGGTGAGTACCACTTCTGCATTTGCTCATCCTTCCTCCCTCTATTTCTGCACTCCCTTTACTCCCAAAAAGAGAAAAACAAACAAACAAAACAAAACAGAGAAGCAAAAACAAATATCACCACCATCAACAATAACAATGAAAAACCAATATGTTTCCATTTCCGGGAACTCGTTGCAATAAGTATATTTTAAATGGTCAGAAGTGTTAAAGAGTATCCTCCTTTAGTCTGAGTGTGCGTGAATGTGGCAGTACACTTAACACCCAAATCACAACATGATTACTGCGCCCCATAATATCACAAAACTAGTGTAATAAGTCATTTTCAGATGAGACGAGTCAATAAGTACTTACGTATGCCTGTACTCTGCCGCCATTCAAAGACCCATAAGCACAAGCCAGTGGTTTGCAGTTAACTGATGAGTGTGAAAAAATAAATTCCAATCCCCATCATTCATGCCTATACATAGACGTGTGAGTTTGTTTCTAGTCACTGGGATTTTGTTGTTGTTTTTGTTTGCCTTGAAGCAAGTTCCCTTGTGTTCACTGACACATGCACACTCAAACCATCAGTGTAGGCTTTAATATATGTGGTAAGAAGCTGTGTTTGGGGGTTTTGTTTGTTTACTCTTGTTGTTTGATTGTTTTGTTTTTTTTTCACTTGTAGAATAAAGAAAGTTACAGAAAATTCTGGAAGTAGAGCCAAATGGGCTATGCAGGCTCTACTGGCCCGCCCATTCTTAGCAAAAGAAACAGTAGGGCAGGCATGGTCATATAAACCAGACTCAAGCAGTAGAGCACTTGCCTAGCAAGATGGAGTTCAAATCTCAGGACTACCAGAAATAAATAAGGTATTCTATTTATGAGTATTTATATGTTATAAATAAATGTTGTAAATATATTATTGTTTAGATAATAAATAGCAAGGAAAGGAGAAAAGAAAGAAAAGGTTAAAAAAAAAAAACAAAGACATCACAGAAAAAGCAATGCATACTTTAAAAAGACCAAAGCCAGAAACAAATTCCAAGCAGGTATTGCTATGATAGCTAAGATCAAAGGCAGACATAGGATATAGAATTAAAGATGAAAATCTTGAAACTTGAACCTACTCCAGGTTGAGAACCTGACCTTGTGCCTGTGGAAGATGGAGAAGTGGAATGTAGAGACTCACATAAATCTGAGCTTGAAAAAGAAATTCCCCTCCACATTTCCCAGGGAAATGGAAGGAAATATAGTTTTGGTTTGGATAGAGGATGGGAAAAAGCAGATGATCACACACATCAGCCACCAGTGTTGTAAGGCTTAAGAATAGAGTTCCAGTGCCATCTCCATGTGGGTTGGGATTCAAGGATTCACTGGAGGAAACACACTGACACTCCGAAGGAAAATGAGTGTTGAGCCAGGCGCAGATGGCTCATGCCTATAATCCTAGCTACTCAGGAGGCTGAGATAGGAGGATCACAGTTTGAAGCCAGCTGGGGCAGAAAAGTCCGTGAGACTCTGATCTCCAATAAACTCAGAAAGAGCCAGAAGTGGTGCTGTACAAGTGGTAGAGCACTAGCCTTGAGCACAGAGAGGCTCAGGGACAGAGCACAGGCCCTGAGATCAAGCCCCAGGACCAAAAAAAAAAAAAAGAGAGAAAGAAAAGAAAAGGACAGTGTTCATGAAAATGAGCTCAAAAACAAACAAAACCATAAAGCATTCAAATGAAGGCCCTCATCGGCAAACAGTACAACAAAATTCACAAGCAGAGTCAGGAAATTTTGTGCACCACCATTTGCAATAAAACAATCTACAAAACACTATACAACTAGTATGGTTAAAAGCTGAGCAGGGCAGGGGTGGCTCATACTTGTAATCCTAACTACTCAGGATGCTGACATAGGAGGATCATGGTTCAAAGCCAGCCTGGGTATGGAAGTCCTCAAGATTCCTATCTCCAATTAACCATCAGAAAAGCCAGAAGTAAAACTGTGGCTCAAGTGGTAGAGTACTGGCCTTGAGTAAAAAAAAAAATTCAAGAGTTCCAACCTCA